GTAACTTGGCTTCTCGCAGTCAGGGAACCGCCAGAAAGCCCTCAGCACTGGGCCTCAGTGTCTGGGCTGAACAGTGGGGGTGGAGACTCTCCTTCAGGTACACTGGGCTGAGGCCGTTACATACAATAGTTCTATATGTCTTATTAATAAAAAGTTTACTGGTTGGTTCACACATAAAAGTGTGGCTTATTGTGTAAGAACCACTCACGTTGCTTGTTCAGATGATTACTAGTGAACTGGATTTTTTTGACTTCCAGTCAATAATTCCCAGGACACAGCATGCGCACACAGGCAGGCATTAGCAATTACTCTTAATGCGATTCAGTCTTCAGCCCTCTAGTGCAGGGGAACCACTTCAATTATCTTTCTGCCGGGTGTTTCATTTAAGAAGATTATTTCATGGTATGCACAGCAGCACCGGTAGGTGGCATGCACATATATGCACATTTATCCGTTTAGCAGATTTATCCAGCAGTGGGTCATCAGAGCACCACCACCAGCTGTCTGTTGGACGGTGTGAGCTTGTTTAATTCCTCAGTCAGACACTCCATTGCAAAAGTCTACAAGGGACAGCAAAGATTAGCAAGGATTTCATACAGGGAATCATCGGTCAACAGATGTGCTTCCTTATTAAAATATTTTTGGGAGTCCATTGGAGTGATTAGAATGAAGATAATCACCACCCAGTGTGAAGGACAAGCTGGGGCATTAGACTATGGCAATTTAAATACCCATCTTTTACAGAGATTGGGAATCTATGGTTCTCTCACCACCCTCTGCTCAATCTCCCATAATGGAAATATTGATTTATATATATATTATTTAAATGTGCAACTGGAGATAGTACCACAAAGATTTTGAGAATCTGCTAATAATTTTCCTATTTAGAAGGGGGAGAAGCTATACAGTGGTACCTCTGGTTAAGAACCTAATTTGTTCCGGAGGTCCGTTCTTAAACTGAAACTGTTCTTAACCTGAAGTACCACTTTAGCTAATGGGGCCTCCCGCTGCCGCCGCACAATTTCTGTTCTCATCCTAAAGTAAAGTTCTTAACCCGAAGTACTACTTCCAGGTTAGTGGAGTCTGTAATCTGAAACATTTGTAACCCGAAGCATTTGTACATGCTGTACATGCAAAAACATAAGAACATAAGGAAAGCCTGCTGGATCAGGCCAATGGCCCATCTAAGTCCAGTATCCTGTTCTCACAGTGACCAACCACCATATGTCTGGTGATAGGACCATGTTAGCTGCAGCCTTAATCCCAGTAACCTGGGCATAAGCCCCGCTGAATTCAGTAGGATTTACTTCTGAGTAGATATAGCTAGGATTGGCCACACCCATGACAATGACAGGAGCTTCCTAAACTGTCTCCTTCCACAGAGTGTGTAGGATTTTATTTTATTTTAAGATTTTCTAAGAAACAACACACAATATTGACACCAGATATTGTATACTGGAGGCTCTGGCAGCCTCCAGTTATAGGCAGAGTCAAGCACCAGTGCCGCTTCCATAGTAAAACCCCAGAAGGAAAACACATCTGTGGGGAGGAGACAGTGAGGTGACTAGCAGCAGCAGCCGCACCACACCACCTGGGGCTCTGAGGGCAGCAGTACCAGGCAGGGCCCCAAGTTGGTGCTGGATAAGGTCCCATTGGTAACACCATGACAATAGCCACTAAAGCATGGGTAGGCAAACTAAGGCCTGGGGGCCGGATCCGGCCCAATCGCCTTCTAAATTCAGCCCATGGATGGTCCGGGAATCAGCATGTTTTTACATGAGTAGAATGTGTCCTTTTATTTAAAATGCATCTCTGGGTTACCGGTATTTGTGGGGCATATAAATTTGTTCCTTCCCCCCCCCCTCAAAATATAGTCTGGCCCCCCACAAGGTCTGAGGGACAGTGGACCGGCCCCCTGCTGAAAAAGTTGCTGACCCCTGCACTAAAGTCTGGCAGCAAGCCTAGCATCCACCATGAAGTCTGTCACTCTCCTTCTCTATTCGCCTTTTATAGGGCTTGCAAAACAACTTCTATTTGACCTCCAGATCACCAGGCTGGTATATTTGCTTTATCCGTGTGGTTTATTTTGTTCTTTGCAGATTTTTTTGTAATTGTTTCCTTTTTCTTGTACACTGCTCTAGGCAAACTGGAAAGGTGGCCAATAAATTACTTTTAACAAATGCATGATGAATAATAAATGCTGATGAAGGTTTCGTATGTGGTACAAGATAGGGCACCTGCTCTTTGCCTACTAGCGCTTGTATTAAATTCAGTTCAGAAGCTGTGGCAGCGAAAATTATTATGGTGAAGACCTGTCAGTTCCTGAGCTGGAATGGGAAGTCTCGATGTAATGAGAGGGAGGCCATTTCGCACAGTGCGCGTAAGTTTTTTTGTTTTGTTTTTTGCATTTTCAGCATCTGTAAATCAAATGAAGGTGCCTGGTTGACAAGAGCATTCCATTTTAAAATAGTTCACTTCTCCCTTCTGTACCTTCTTAACAATATTCAGCCTTCATGACACATTCCAGACTAGAAAGACATTCTCAAGAGTTATTTGTGAAAACACCCGGTGAGATAACACATATCTTGCTTCCTGCTATACAAATCCTGATGCTTTCAAGAGATGCTAAAGGATGGTTTACACATTGCATTTGAGTACACACATTTACCGCTGTACGACACCACTGTGTGCCACTGTAGGCAATTCCACCACAGGCAGGAGGATCACACATGACACTTGTGGTTGTGTTTGTTGTCGCTCTGTGTTTGTTGTTTTGCATCTCCGAAGGGACACATTTTGTACATGTATGTTGAAAAGACACAAAGTGAGAGGCAGGCCTTGCAACACCTTTTGGTCTCAAAACTACCCCCCCCACACACACCCTGGATTTGCTGAGTAGGGATAAAAAGTAGGCAAACACCATTTTAAATTGAATGCACACTCTCTCGGCTCCCCTTATTGGCTTATATAGTGTTATGTGCCCAGGGCTTTGCAGTTTAAGCAAAAAGGTAAAGAAAAAGGACAGGTCTGTAGCCCACAGACCTGGCAGCCCGAGATCTGACAATGTAAAAAAAGAACAGAAGGACTGAAAGGCAAAGATAGCAGCAAGGGATGAATGTAACTACAGATATGCCTTCTATTGTGGCTTGAAATGAAGAAATTACAGCCAATGTTAAGGTTTAGATTTGAATTGTAAATGTGGGGCATGCAAATCCACTTTAAGCATCACTTGCAAAAACAGCCTTAACCCTTTCTCTCACCTCATCCTTATGCTTGCCTGTTATCTAGGAAGAAAATTCCAGGTATGTTTTAAATTATTTAGAAATAGGTGAACCCCCAGTTTGGATGGGGTAGTATTCCCCCTTAAAAGCAGATTTACTGCTTGGGGCAACTCTTGTATTGAATACTAGTGCAACCACTAGGGGCCAAGGTCCATTCAGCCCCGCCCCCATAAAAATATTTGAAGGGGCTGGGCCCTCTCAAAGTTGATGGACATTGCCATTCAAATGGTGTGCGTACACCATGTCATGTGATCAATTATGCAGAGCGGGGCTTACCTCCCTCCCCCATTTTTTTTATTCAAGTGTCATGCCTGCTTCTTGAATGCCTGCAGGAAGCTTCTGCAGCCAATTGGAACCTGCGTTGGACGTTCGGGTTCCAAAGAACATTCGCAAACCGGAACACTCACCTCTGGGTTTGCGGTGTTCGGGAGCCAAAACATTCGACTCACAAGGCATTTGACTTCCAAGGTATAACTGTACCTTGGATTCTTCCCACAAACCGGAGCAAGACTGCACTGCTCTGGTTCGCCAGAAGTGGCTTAGTCATGCTGGCCACATGACCGGGAAGCTGTCTGCAGACAAACGCCGGCTCCCTCGGCCAGTAAAGTGAGATCAGCCCCGCAACCCCAGAGTCCTTGTGGACTGGACTTAGGGGTCCCTTTACCTTTACCTTAAGTGCAATATACAGTGTGACACTAGATGGTGATAGTGAGCCTTATGGAAAATTCAATGTATTTTTAAAAACGCTTTAAAAACAAGCATTTTCAAAACGGTTTTTGTGTGTGTGTAGATTCCACCCTAGTAATTCCACGTTAACGCAGCCTGTCGCAGCGCAGGCTTCCTGCGCTCCTCCTGCAGCATCAGTAGCTAGATCTCCTCCTGCCGGGGGTTTCTTCGCCACCAATTCGCCGGTTAAAAGCCTGCCCCACTTCCTTGGTTGGGTGGCTCGCCTCCAGCCCTTCGACCTCGCGCTTCCAGAGGCAGCATCTAAGCCGGACTGGAGGTGCGCTTCCCCATTTCTGCATTTCCCCCCACCGTCCACTCTCAATAAATATCATGTTTCTCAAAACAATATCATCGCATGATTCAAACGACTCTGCAGCGGCTTTCTTTTCTGGAGGAGGAAGCAGCAGCAGCATCCTTTCCTCTAGCGCGCAGACGCGGCCTTGGCGAGGGGAGCGCGGGCTGCTCTCGCTCGTCATCTCTCCAGCGCCAGCCAAGGAGAGGTTTCCAAGCGGACCTCGGGGCCAGCAACGAAGGCGGGGAGGACCCGGCGGAAGAGCCAGGGGGCACCTTTCCAACTGGCCTCCCCTCGCAGATCTAGGGTGCACATCACCGGCACCCCCCCCAAAACACACAGCTCCTTGCATGTCGCTATAGAGAGAGGGGGGGTGTGCGTGTAGCAGGGGGCAGCAACCTTCTCCACTAACTGTGTCTCGCGGGGCCAAGCCTCCTTTGCTGACAGGCTGTGGGTGGGTGTGAGTGTGCCGGGAGCTGGTGTACAGGAGGAGCATCGCAGGCTCTCATTGGACGCGCGCACAGACGCGCGCGCGCAGCCAGCCAGCCAGCCTCTCTCCCTCCCTCCTTGCACTCCAGCAGCCTGGCTGAGCTGGTGCTCCTGTTCGTCGGGCTTTCCACTTCACTGCCGATTCTCCCCGCACCGGAAGCCTGAGGCTCCGCCTTCCTCGCCATCCAGCACCGGGAAAAGCCCCCCTGGGCACTTCCAGCGGGAAGCGCAGCACTACGCCCGGCTGGGCAACCCCCTCCTCGCCACTTGGCGGCGGCGGCGGGGCTGCGCGGGTTCCGTCCAGAGCAGCGGCTGCTTCGCCTTCCGACCCGATCGCGCCCTCGTCGGGCAGGAGAGGCCCCCGCGAGCCGGGATGGGCTGAGCGCCCGGGGAAGAAGCAGCCGAGAGGAGCTCGTGGGCCGGCGAACAAGTGAGTGGCCGGCCGGCTGGCTGGTTGGCGCTGCTGCTCGGGGAGGCTGTGCGCTTGGTGCAATGCAACACCGCGTGGCCGCCTGCAGGGCTCCGCGGCGGACATGCTGAGCAGGGGAGGAGCCGGCGGGAAAGCGCCAGGCGGGCTCGGCGGCTCCGCAGCAGGGCTGGAGGGAGCGGGCGCCGCCAGCTCGGCCTTCGCCTTCCGCAGCAGGTGGATCCCGCAGGCGCGGCTCCGGGGATGAGCCCCGCGGGCGCGCCGCCTCCTATCGCCCCGGTCAGCACGCGCTCGCAGCCGCCGCCGCCGCCAGGGTCGGACTCTGCGCTCCCCCCGATGGTTCCCGCCCGCCTGCTTCTCTGTGACAGGGACGTGACCTTCCCTGGCTGAGCCTGACGATGTGGGGTCAGGATGCCTCGGTGCCCCGACGTCGCCTGGCGCAACCTTGCAGGGGCGCTCCTTGGCTGCTGGCGCTCCTGCTGAGCTTGGCCCTTGCCCGCAAAGGGGGCTCGGCGGCACACTGCCCCAGCAATTGCGTCTGCGCCAGCAACATCATCAGCTGCTCCAAGGCCAACCTGAGTGTCTTCCCCCATCCCCTTCCCTCCTACGCGGCTGCCCTGGACTTCAGCTACAACCAGCTGACGCGCCTGCGGGCGGAGTGGGCGCCTTCCCCGCTTCGCCACCTGCACTCCCTGTTCCTCAGCCACAACGGCCTTTCCTTCATCTCCACGGAGGCCTTCACCAATGTCCCTCACCTCAAGTACCTGGACCTCTCGTCCAATAACATCCAGGAGCTGGGGGAGAACCACTTCAGTCACCTGGTGAAGCTGGAGGTGCTGCTGCTCTACAGCAACAAGATCTCCAAGATTGACCGGACGGCTTTTGAAGAGATGACCAAGCTCCAGAAGTTGTACCTGAGCCATAACGCCATCAGCCGCTTCCCCCATGAGCTGCTGAAGAAGGACGAGGGGGGCTTCCCGGAGCTGGCCTTGCTGGACCTCTCTTGCAACAAGATCAAGGATATTTCCGTGGACGAGGTGAACAAGCTCCCGGCCTGGGTGAAGAACGGTCTCTACGTCCATGGCAACCCCCTCACCTGCCAGTGCCCGCTCTACAACCTCTTCACCCACTGGCAGAAGCGGCAGCTGAGCTCCGCCACGGACTTCAAGGAGGAGCTCAAGTGCTTCCTCGAGAAAGACCGCAAAAGCATCAAAATCTCCAGCCTCAGTGACCCAGGGGGCTTGAACTGCAGCGAGTTCAAGGAGCAAGTGCTGGAGGTCCATCGCGGGGAAGAGGTGATCATCAACTGCGACACGAGGCAGCGAGGGGTGGTGATCAGAGAGTGGCTGACCCCCCGCTATGAGCGTGTCCCCCAGGAGGGCGACAACAGCTCCATGACCATGCTGACCAACGGGAGCCTTCAGATCAAAAACATCAGCGTGGAGGACATGGGTCCCTATACCTGCTATGCGGTCAGCCAGGTGTTCAACGAGACCCTCTATGTGCACGTCACGGTCCACAACTACTCCTTGCACGGGACCCCGGACACCCTCAACACCGCCTACACCACGCTGGTGGGCTGCATCCTGAGCGTCATCCTCGTGCTCATCTACCTTTACCTGACCCCCTGCCGCTGCTGCTGCCGCAACGGCGAGAAGCAGGCCAGCCAGCGCGAGGACAGCATCAACTCCTCGGTGCTTAGCACCACGCCCAACCACAACACCGGCGGGGGCAAGGAAGGGCTGAACCGGCACATGGCGCCTGGCAACGCGCAGGGCCAGAATGGCAAATGCAAAGCCAACAGCTCCCCCAAGCAGGCGGTGAAAGGGTCCCAGAAGGCAGAGCGGAAGATGTCGGATGCGGACTCGGTCAGTTCCGTCTTCTCCGACACACCCATTGTGGGGGCCTCGCAGGGCGAAGGCGGGAGAGGATCCGGCAGGGATAAGGCAGGGGCTGAATTAGTGGGGCTGCTGTGATCGTTCTGGCACTGGGAAACAAGATGGAAGATGCAGCCACATCCCTTAAGGCATAACAATATTCTCTGGTACAGTTCTCCGACCTGCCACAGTATGTAACGGCATTGCTTTGTTACTTTCCTCCTGTTGAGCCCACAGTCCAGTGTCGAAAACCTTGATCTCCCAAGCACAGTCTTTCCTCAGCCCTCTGTTTCTTTGGAATGACATGGTTTTTCAGATCGCCCTCATGGGAACCTTTGTGAGCATCTCAGCCACAGGCAAAAGGGTCCAGCAGACTTCACTAGGTTTTCCTGCATCCTGCTGTCGCTTTTGCTAACTTTTCCTGGGTGGGACTTTCCTCCCAAGTCTCTGTGCAGGTATGAATACCAGAAGAGCAGCCCCGGCTCATCCGCTGCAGCAGAAATGGCAGTGTCACCTTCAGAGACTTAACAATATTAGGGTGGCATAAGCTTCCGTAGGTGGCAGCCTGCTCCATCGGATGTTACAAAGTGGGCCTAGAAACCAAGGTTTTTGTTCACCTTCATGCAAATTAAATCACATTCATCTCCACAGTAGCTCCAGAGATGGCAGTAACCCCAATTAGCCACGGTATTGTGGGAGTGGGGTGGGGGAAGTTGACTTTTTAAAAATGGCTCAATAATATTTTTTTTATATATCTATATATATATATATAAACTCTTGCTACAAACACTTATTTATTTATTTATTTTTACAGAAACGGAGGTTCCCACCATTACCAGGCTTTTTCAGGACATAATTCAAATAATTTTTCTAGTAAGCAGGCAGACCTGTTTTGGAATCCTCTGCTCTCCCTTTTTCCTTTTTTTTCTTTTGGTGGGACTATGACAGAGATAAAAACTGAATTTTTAAAGAAACATAGTAGTGAGGAGAGATTAGTTACGCAGTCTTTCTTCACTAGGAAGCTCTTGTTAAAACATAAAAGGAGCTAAACCCAAACCTTTTAACCTTCGTGGCACCAAAATGCAAGAAGGGAACCAACAGCCTTGGGAGCTGGCAAGGTGGGATTCCACATCCCCACTCATCCAAAACCCATCCTGCTTGCTCCAAGACGCAGCAGAAGCAAGAACATGGCATGGCATGTCCCAGATCTCCTGCTTTCCCCTCTCCGCAGCCTGCTTGGCAGATTCCCATTACTGTGAACACCCAATGGGTCAAGCTGGGGGTCCAGAGCGCAGCTCTCCATCCTTGCAAAACTTTGGCAAATTTGGAGACTGTGGGAGGCTATCTAGATCTTGGAAATCCCAAAGCCATTGGGCAGCCTCTTCACCCTGTTTTAGGAGACCAAGCGGTCGACAACCCCAAGGTGCTTGATGGGGAAAGCAGCTGAAATGAAGGTGCCGCTCAGCTCCCGTCAACAGCCATGTTTAGGAGCGTTTCCACCCAAAGAGAGGCCTTCCTGAAATGTGCATGTGCTGCCTTTGAGCCTCGCCCTGTGACACCACTGTATGTGACTCAGGCAGTGGGGTGTAGAAGCAGCAGAGAAGAGGGAGAAAGACAAGATAAGTCTCTGTATTAAATATCTGGAATTGCACTGACTGTGCTCTTTGTGGGGCAGCTGGCATGACGTCACTGGAGGTGAAGCAATTGCAGTGAGAAGGTCCCTGTGCAAAGCAGGGGACTTAACCCTGCACCTATTCTCAAGGGATCTAACAGAGAAGGCTGAATCCCACCTGCTCTGTCCAGCTCAGAATGCTCCATTGGAAATGGGTGGATTTGAAAAGCCATGTGGGGTTGCCAAGGATGGGGGAAGGCCCTTGAGACGGTCCCCTTGCAAAGGTTTCCCTTTGATCTGCATTCAGGCTCCATCAGTTTATCTGTTGGCTGAAGTGGGAAATGAAAGGGGAGAGTTCAGGGCTGGCATGCAGGGGCGACACTATAAGCCATAAGAATGTATTGCACAAATTTGTGAATGGGTCCAAAGCAGCGATAAGTCCTGAAGAGCACAGCTCTGTGCTATAGCCATATGAACCCTGCTCACAGCCCTGAGGCTCATTGCAATCAGTCACTTAGGGAGACGCCCAAGAACAACCAGAGCCCAAAGTGAAGATGGAAGTCAGCTGTCAGAGGCAAATCTCCCATCTTAACTGACTCACTCTGGGGCTTCTTGCTTTCTCTGGCATGTTATTGGGAAGGAGAAGTCCTCTAATTGAAGCAGCAGTCCAAGTGAGGTGCCTGCAAGCCAGAAGAGGGAGAAAAAGGAGAGGCTGAGATGAATGAATGAGAATGAGAGAATGAGATGAATGAAATGCGAGGATGGTGAAAGCAGGGAAGTTTAGCAATAAGACAGCTGATTTTTATAAATCTGTGGTTGAATTCTCTAGCTCATCTGGAACCGTGGTAGGTTGCCATGTTCTGACCCCCTTCGTCCCTTTACAGATCTCTTCTGTCAATCTGTTTTCTGAAATTTCCAGACACGGGGAGCAAAATCAGAACTATTTTAGAGTAAGCAAAAGACAGGACAGAGTTTTCCCTGTGCATGTTTGCTGGATGAGGAAACATATCAACTAGGGCTGTTGATGTAAATACAAAAAAATTGATGACCTTGTACTGTAACAGTATAGGCTACATATTTATTCATGCTAGGACATTTAATAGCTGTGAAGCTCTTATACTTCGGGGGGGGGCATTCAGGGAACGTGAGAGCTCCTTTTGGCTACCTGTTGACTTCACTGCTGCTTAACCCCTTTGCTTCTTGGGCTGGAAAGATCCATGCTGCAGATAATGAAAAAAATTCACAGATTGCACTCATAGCAGAAAGCTATCTGCCTTCCCCATCTGCAAGCTCTTATAGATGGGATGAAGGGAGAAGGGTTTGCAGCCTGAATCCCTACAGCCCTCAATCAGCATATGGCCAAAGGGCCACAGATACATAGTGCAGATGCACCAGAGTCAACTCTCTCATGCGCACAGCATGTATCTATCACATTTAATGGGGAGGGGAGGGGACATACAAAATTGCCTCATGCTGGATAAGACCATCTGTCCAACTAGCCAAGTATTATCCACTTTGGCCGGCAGGGATTCTCCCAAGGACACAGACAAAGGTTTTCCCCAAACCTGGTATCTGATATCTGCTAATGAAAGATGCCAGGTATTGGACCTGGGATTTTTTGCATGCAAGCCTATGTTCTCTTAAGCAGCCACCCAATGCCCAGTTCTTGTCTACTGGAGATGGGTGAACAGAATGCTAACATGAGTTGAAGCGAGGATGGAAGCAGCCTATGTTTCAGTATGCACATGTGTGCAAGTACGAATTAGCATGTGTGGGTACCCACACTTTTAAACCCCTGTTCAGAACACCTCCTAGCCTCTAATGTTATGCTAGAAAAGCTTGGTGCTTAAGTTGTGCAAGTAGCAGGACTAACCTCCAGAACCTTTCTAGGGAAAAGGGACATGGACTAGTAGGATTGTCATTGCATGGACAATCTGCTTCAGCAAACCTTTTTCACTCCTGTTCCTCTTTGGAGAGCCATAAATACCCATACTCGTTAATAGAGTAATCCCCTGTGATGCTTTCTCAGGATTCCTTGGTCCACCAAAGAGGAAGCAGAACAGAGGACTCTGGGATATCCCCATATCACTGAGCTTGATCCTGGCAAATTTACTTCTTCGTGTGGAAATACCCTTGGCAGTGTGAGGCAAGGAGCCCAGAGTTTTAGGCACCACCACATGTGACATGAACAGCTCATACTGGGCTATGAACAAGGATTCATTGGGGTGTGTTGTTGTGTTTTTTAGCTTGATCACAGGGAAATGTGCAGAAGGAAACCTTGCAAGTACTGGTTGTCAGGAGCTGACATTGTTGGGAACTTGCTGAGGTCCACACCATTTCTTCCTTCTGAGCCTTCTGGCCCTACCACTCTTCCCCCTTGCTGTCACTGCCTGTTCTCCTACCCACTCAGAGCACATGCGCAATGGGAAGAGGGAGCAGACGGAGCAGTATCTGCTGTGTGCCTTGCATTCTCCATCTGGGGGGCTGTGTGACAACAGTCAAAATAGGCAGCAGGGACAATCTTATCCAAGCGTAGCCCATTCCTGAAACCCAGAGCTAGCACCATTGGGAGGAGATATTTCTGAAAGGCCCGGTGCAAGAAAGCCACTGGGACCAACCCAAACATTACCTGATCTCACTGGCTGTAGGTAAGCATGAGAGAGCTGCTGGTTGGACCATTGACTACTTGTTTCAAAGCACATCAACGGTCCAGTGCAGATGTAAGACTTCCACCCCGGAGCCCTGGATCCAAACCTCCCTCCCATCTCTCCTGCGCTTAGCTCTGGCTTGGTGGTATTCCTGCACCATGAACCCTAACCCTGGCATGGCAAGGTGCTGAATCCTAGTCAAACTAGTTCTGCGCTTTTCTCAGCCTTTGATTTCATAGCTGCCCTCTTCTGGTGTCCATCAGGGACTGGGTTGGGGGCCAAAGTCTTAAGAGTGGCAGGACCCCCATCCTATTTTGTGACCGCTCAGGTCACTCCTTGCACCCTCTTGGTCAAAGCAGTGAAGAAAGGAGCTCTTTTTGCTCCTGTCCTACAGGTGGATGTTGCTACGCCTCATCACTAAGGCAACCTTTTTATTCCATCGAAACTGGCACAGTCACGAGTGGTTGCCACCCACATGGTTTCCCTGTTGTAAGCTCTAGGCTGGTTGCTGAAAGGGAGGCTCTGCCTGCTCTCCACAGGGTGCCAGAACCACTCGCCTCTCAGCAAACCACCTGCTTGTGCCTGCTGTCTGTGTGCAACGTGCCACAGGGTCTCTGCTGAGAATCTAAATATGCTCTGAGTCCACACTAAGCTGCCAGGAGAGAAATATCTTCCTTCCCTTACTGGATAGGGCATCCAAAGGAGGTAAGAATAAGGAACACAGCTAGAAATAGCTCCGCTATGGTTGTGAGTACTGAAGTCCTCCTTAGGATCATGCACTGGGCCTGGTATTTACTTTTGTTAAACAGCATAAAGCGCTCAATCCTAACTGAAAAGAATCTCTTGATTCCTCTTCCTAGCTGTTTAAAGAGAGAGAATGTGAGTGAAATCCCCCCACTGCCATAATATACAGTGCGCTCCTTCAGACAAGCAGAAAACAAATAGGCTTTCCCCCATTTAGTTTGACCTTCTGGCTTGCTCATTAATGATTGCCATCTTTGTGGGTTTCTAAGGCTCCTGAATGTTAGGCTATTTTAGAAGGTTCATCTATTTAAACCAAGATATGCAAATCGTCACCACTGGTTTCATTTGCTGTCGGCTCCTGCTCCCACGCCTGGGTCAGCTACCAACATTCCACATAAGCATCTTGAGGGATTTTAGTTGAATGAGACTTCGGGGATGAAAGCTGCGCTGTCAGATCTGCAGTGGTCAAACGTGAATCTGCCCTGAATCTGTCTGCCCTACTGATAAGGTCAAATGTAGAGTGTCAGCACAGTGGGAAGAAGTCAAGCTGCACACAGCACAATCCTTTTTTTTAAAGGAACCTTTGTATGTGCTCACCATTCCTGGTGCCTTAGGCAATGCGTGAGCATGACAAATGTGCAGTGCAGCTGCAAACATGCTTGGGAAGGGAGATGAAGGGGGAGTCTGGGGCCTAGACAGAATGGCTGGCAGCAGATGGTTTCTTAGGAGATTACTGGAAATCCCCACCCCCACCCCTTTAAAAAAAATAATGGAGGGAGGGCAAGGCAAGAACAAGATTAGGGATGCATGTATTTACGTATGCAAAACAAAGGCAGGCTTCCCACTGTTTTACTGCACTTTTCTGAATCCATACAGCACAGCAAAGAAAGCTCCCCTCACACCACCAAGAAAGGTTGCCCAATGCTTGTAGTACAGCATGGCTCCATCTCTCACTCCCCCCATTCTGTGGTTTGCAGGTCAAGCAAAATGTTATTCCAACCTGCAGAGGATGCATACATGCTTATCTGTTCCAGGCAGAGACAACAATCCCAAAGAGTACCTGGGCTGCATTTCTGTTGAGAAGTCTGTACTCTCCAGCATAGACATAGGTGAAAATAAAACATGTTTTAGGAATATGCACCTGCCTGTCTCTTTTTTCCCCCATTTTCCACCACCATGATGAATATTGACTTCGGCATTCTCAGTCTGGGCCCGAACACAGAGGCAAGCCCCGGCCATGGATCTTCAGTAAGCTTTCACCAGAATTAAACATAGCTAAGAGGGATGCTTTGGGACGTGGTTTGTGGCGTATCATGTGTGGCACTGCAAAAAGAGACAGAGGAAAAAACTGCCAGGGTTGGGGTTGTTCAGGTTTTTCCTGCCCAATCAGGTAAAACTCTTTCAGTCGAAATCCGCAGACCATGAAGGCGGAAAAGAGTAGGGTTGCTGGGCATTCACCTGGATACGATGTCTTTCCCTTTAAAAGCTCTGGACCTTGTGTTATTAGATGGTTCTCTTCACCCGCTCTCATACCTGCTATGGACCAAACACCAGGGTCCTCCTTGGTCCAAAGGCTGACTGCTCTCTCTGAGTGTAGATCTGGCATCCCTAGAGCACACCAGCGGTGATCCAGCACATGTTTTATTTTTTAGGGTCAAATGTGGATCTCATGGCAGCTTCTCTCATGCATGTCACACAAGTGTTGCCCATCAAGCCTCAGCTAGCAAGATTCAACACCACATACGTCCCAGAAGTGCAATGAATTTATAGAGTAGCCCTAAAGTATCAATGGCAGAGCGCGGGCAGTCCACAGCACGCCTCCCAGGTGTGGACTCTGAAAGACCTCTGCCTGAGACCGGCTATCGCTTTAGGCCAATAGGACTGGACAGCTCCCTGGTATCCTTGTTTAAGGATAGTGGGCACCGTACTTCATATATCTGAACTCGGCTTACTGTGTGGCAAATCTGGGATTGCTGCCTATTTCTCTGGTTCAGTGCCCTTCAGAGCTGCTGAGAGAAGAATTTCCTCAGTCAAACTACCAGATCATTCCTCCACCGCCACCCATGCAACACCTGTTGACATAACATAGAACTATGAGCAAGTAAAATATGGCAAGCTGAACCTAGAGACACAGGGCAAGATCTGGATATAGCATAAGGCCATGCAAAATCGTTTCCATTATTCAAAACGTGCAATCCTTTGAGAGCAAGAGGCTCATGTAGAAAGAAAACACCTGATCTAAGCAGACAGCAATGCTCACCCAAGGGGTGGCTGTATTTATTCAAGCATGAAAGACTATTGTGCTCGCCAGGGCTTTCCATCAGTAAGGTAGGAACAGCCACTAATGAAGTTCATTCACAAAAAAAAGCATTTCCTTTCCCCACTTGGCTGGACAGAAGAGATTGATCTGAGCAGACAGTAACCAATCTCGCTGAAGGGGCCACTCATGCATTCATGGCTGGAAGTTGCCATAGGCTAAGTTGTCAGCACATAATAAGGTATCATCTTTTTCAGGCATTTATATCAAGGAAGATAGTACTGTTGTATGCAGTGTGTGTGTGTGTGTGTGTGTGTGTGTGTGTACTGTGAAAATGCACCTCAACTGCACATGGCTAGGGGTTTCCATTGGAGTTGCCCTCTCATAATCTTAGGGTGCTTCCAGACAAGGGCATTATACTGTAAACTGGTCTTTCAGATCCAGTTTTTCTGGCACAACTGACACGTGAACATTCACATGCTCCTTTTCAGACACAACATTCATGGGCATTCTGCCACTTGACATCCACACCAGTGGGCAGAGCTGGATGGGATGTATCCAGACTGTGTTTTTTTGTTTCGTCCTTCCATCCAACCATTTCTCTACCACCCTCCACTGCCTTTTCCTGGGCATGCACAGCAGGGTCCCCACGGAAATCTTTAAAGAAAGATCCCAGGAAATTCATACGAGTGCAAACGCCAACCTTAGTTATCGTGTTCCACAACAGGGAAAATGGACCTGTGAAATTCCCTATGAGGAATGGTTGCGGCATTCAGGATTTTTCAGTTTACCACAAAAGAGTAAGAGGCGAGTCAGGCAATGTAAAAAAAATAAATATGCAAGGCATGGAGAAATTGGATAGAGGAATTTTTCCTCCCTCTCTCATAACACTAGAACTTGTGGACATATAAAGAAACTGAACTTTGGGAGATGCACGAAAGACACAAGTAAGTACCGTATTTTTCTCTCCATAAGACACACTTTTTTCCTCCTAAAAAGTCAGGGGAAATGTCTGTGCGTCTTATGGAGCGAATGTGTGGTCGATTGTTGGCTCCCTTTCTGGCCCCGCCCCCTTGCCCAGGCCTCCATTTTTGAATGTTCTGCAGACGGAGGCTGTTTGTTTCCCCAGCGACATGTGACTGGCTGATTAGATTATCTGTCTTGAAACTGTAGAAACGGCTCCCTTTCCTTTCCTAAAGAAGCTGCAGAACTTTGAGTTGAACCCCATAAAAACAGGATTTTTTCCCTTTGCAAAGTAAGCTCAACAACTTTGAGCTGATCCTCAAAAAAGGGGGCTTTTCCCCTTTGCAAAAGAAGCTGCACAACTGTGAGCTGATCCTCAAAAAACCCACAGGAGGCAGTGATGACTCGCCACCTTGGAGAAATAGAGGATAAGGGTATCAATGACTACTAGCCAGGATGACTATGCTCCCTACCTTAATGGCTGGAGGCAGTAATGCTTCTGAATACCAGTTTCTGGAAGTCACATGGGGGAGAGTTGCTCTTGTGCTCTGGTCCTGCTCGTGGGCTTCCCACAGGCATCTGGTTGGCCACTGTGAGAGAGCAGGATACTGGAACAGACCTGTCAGCAGATCAATAGACCATTGACCTGATCCAGCAGGCTCTCCAAGGAGGGTAATGGCCATTTCATTTCTAAGAATAACCACCTACCCCTTCCCCTAAGGTTCAAGGGAGGTTGTAACATTAAAGCACAATATGAAAAACAGTTCAAAGCAATTTACAGTCACAACAACAAGGTGGATCCTAAAAATACACACTTTGAGTGGGGAAAAACTAGGATAGCAAGGTGTGTCTTTGGCATTTGCTGGAAGCTGTATAATGATGCTGCGAGATGCACCCCTGCAGGGAAGGAGTTCCACAACTTAGAGGCTGCCATAGAAAATACCCTCTGTTGCATCACCACGGTCCCAAGTCTCCAAGGGTGATGGAACGAGCAATAAGGCCCTCTCCACAAAACATCTGAGGGGGTTTGTACAGAAGGAGGTGGTCTTTCAGATATTTGGGGCATAAGTTATTTAAACTTGAAACACTAACATCTTTAAGCACTAACCTTTTTTGCTCATGGGGTGCTAAGGGTGCTTCCAGACAAACCGTTTGTTGAGCAATCATCCTGATTTGCTTTCAGGGAGATTAAACTACACCAGCTATCTAATATTGCATTCATTCTAATTAATTTGTGGGGAGTTTAGATGATGATGATGATGATGATGTGTCAAAGCATGTTTTATCACACTGCATTTCCCCCATCACTTTTCTTATCACAAAAACCTGACCTTTTGGGAAAGTGGGTTTGCTGCACAATCACCTATATAACTGTGCAACTTGAATTTACTGGTGTGAGATTATATCCTACCCCTGCCACTAAAAAGGGGGCAGCCTAACCGTCTGGAGCCTAGTAGAAATAAATAAATATAGTTTGTGGCTTTCAAAAACAGGTCCCATGTTGGCTTTTGTACATACACGTGAACACACCTATGTGATGTGTGCACCCGTGGTTTCTGCAGTGGAGCCAGGTAGGTCTGAGAATTTAATGAAAAGGCATCCCAATGGATGAAAAGGTGGTTCAAACAGGACAAAGGAAGAGTGTGAAAACTTCACAGGTATACACGGATTAGAAGCATATATTTGCACCTAAGTTGGCACTAATGTATGAAAATTCCCAGCAATTGGTTCACTGGCTAGCTGCAAATTGATAGACAAAGACTGATGGAAAATAGATCACTGTAAGTTGTCTAGTAACAAGGGCATTCTAAGAACGAAGCCAATAGTTTATTCATTGCTTTAAACTAGGATTGAGTCCCTGCAGAAAAATCCCCTGAGCTCATAGACAGGTATTAGAAGGGCTTTAGATTCATCTCCATATGAATGGGATAATAACTCTCAGTTAAAGTATTAAGACCTAATTTATCCTCTCTGACTGAGAGCTTTATGCTACCTCTTGGACTTTAAGACCGGTCAAGCCTTGCAGAGATCACTTGTGAATTAGAAAGCATTGACTGACTTCCTGTAAAGAGAATTAAGAACCTGCCCTTTAATGGTATATATTAGAATACAGTATTGTACCTAGAATTTCCTAAAACGTCCTCTGCAGAAGGCAGTAGAAGCTTGGCTAGCCAGCTTGCTTCTCAAAGACAAACACAAGTGTCACAAGGCTGCTGAATTCGTGAAGATGCCTCCCTTTTGTGATGTTTTCTGGAGCTAAATTCCATCCAAACATTTTATTCACAACCAATATGGCTCTGACAATGCACTGCTCCTGGCACATGCTGATTCAGGGGGAAATTCATTTCACTGGTCCTTTCTGTGCAAGAGTGGAAAGCACATTCCCATATCACTTGTCATAATTATTCGCTAAAAGCCACAAACCCACCCGCAGGAATGTAATGGATACCCCGTGCAGATGGATTGTGATGAGTTGGTGTCCAAGAGGTTTTCTGTCTTCTATTCTATTTGATCCAGAGTGCCTGAATAAATGGAGAGGCAGTGTGGTGTAATGGTTAGAGTGTTGGACCTGGAAGACAAGGGTTCTGTTCCCCACTTGGTCATGTAACTCACTGGGTGACCTTGGGCCAGTCACTGCCTCTCAGCCTAACCTACCTCACAGGGTTGTTGTGGGGATTAAATGAGGAGGGGGAGAACCATGTACGCCACCTTGATCTCTTTAGAGAAAAAAGGTGAGATATAAATGCAATAAATAAATAAAATGCATGCATAGATTCTCAGAAACGGGCTGCTTTTAGCAATGCAGTACACATTACTTCCAGATAAGATACCGTAACTTTCCTCCGGGTGGCACTGGTGCTCCAAAATCCCCTTCTAAGGCAAAGCTTTTCAGCAGCTGTTGATCAGCTGGC